TTTCTAGTTTATTTCTGAATCTATAAGCTTCTATGCAGTGGAGAGATGCATGCAAATTTTAATTTTCGGCAACACTAATTAAAATTTGTCAATTGCGCAACATAGTTATTTGTTGGGTTCCATGAAACTAATACCAATTAAAACTTATATTTTCCCCCTGAAGCAACTTCTACAAGGTTCGAAATGTAATGGAATAATTGACCGCAATTAAAAATTCACAAGCAATCGTGAATACAAACAAAGGCTTATGCTTGTAGGTAGATACATATATATGTACATATTTATGTGTAAAAAAGAAAAATACGCATTGATACGCACTAATAAATGTACATTAGGGTGGTCAAAAATAAGTAACGTCGGAATTTTAATGCTCTCATCCCCTAGGATTATTCTATGCGGAAAAAATGTACCCCTATTTTTTTTATCGAAAAATATTTAGAGGTCGCTAAAAGCGCTCAAACTTTTCCATGTATTTTGTATGGGGAAAAACAAATTTTCGTAGAAATGCTACGGAATTCTTCAACATCAATATTTTTCGATCGGAAAACTCTGTTCCTCTTCAGGAGATCTCCAATAGCAATCCCTATTGGTTTATTTAACCATTTTTTAATGCTAGAGATTTTCCATTACATTTTCTGGAATTTCCCAAAGGTTTTGGCGGACGTATAAAATATAGCTACTACGAAAAAATACTTAAATAAATAATTGAGTATTATTATTGGGAGTCTCCTGAAGAGAAACAGAGGGATCCGATCGAAAAATATTGATGTTAAAGAAGTCCATACCATTTCTACGAAAATTTCTTTTTTCCCATATAAAATACGTGGAAAATTTTGAGCGATATTTCGATTTAAAAAAAAAAAAAAAATATGGGTATATATTTTTTATGGTATAGAACAGTCGTAGGGGGTGAGAGCATACAAATTCCGACTGTACTTTTTCACATGCATTTTTGGACCACCCTAATGTACATACATACATTCGAGTACATTCGCCAGACATTGCACGCATTTACCACATTGCACACAAGGCTTTACAACACTTTCAGAAATCTGTTCACCTGAAAATGCCTCCTGCCTCAACCCACCAAACAGCTATCCGATTTTCATACATTTCTTAATCGTACAGTTACCATTTATCTGTGTATCATCCACCTACGATTCGCAACGAAGTGAAAATGCGTTTGTTTTTATGCAACTGACAGATGCAACAGAAAGATTGGAAAGTAAACACAGGTAGCACAGTTTATGTATAGATGCATTGAGCAATGAATGTTGTTGCTATATTTTTTTTTCATTTTGGTTAGGGACTGCTGTGCATCTCAACATACATATACGCGTGTACGGCTACTGCTTTTGTTTACATTGAGGCTTAATGCTTGTGGCTGGCGAGGTGCTTCCCATTGTATCTTTAGGTAAGTGCAGAGGCTTGTGTGGCTTGGTGTGATTACGTGTGTGCTTTGTGTGCAGTCAGTTCTCCTTGTGTTTATCTCCAGTTCAATTGCCAAGTGCATACGAGAACTTCAGGTGGAAACTAATTGACCATAAAGTTAGCTGATTGGTTGTCGAAACAACCAGCCCACAAATCAAGAGTATGAAGCAGCAAATGGCTATACTAAATAGAAACAGCAACAAATGTAAAATACTTTTTCAAAGGGGGCTTAAATTGGGTGAGGCAGTCATTTTTGAAATATTTTTTGGTAAATTTTTTTTCCACAAATATAAAAGGGAAACCCAATTCGAATCGATAACCACAAAGATGTAAACGTTTTTGAAATGTGGATAACAATGTTAATATCGGTAACGATAAAGGAACCGATAATGATAGTGCAAATGATAACTTTAACGACAAAAATTGTCGTGATTCTTTTATTATTTTCAGCAAAAGAGCGATTATTTTTCTGGTATTTCTCACAGTTTTTTTTTCGACCCTCAAAAATGAAAGCTATTCGGGAATTTTTATGGTAAATTTTCGAACTCTTTGCGACTTTATAGTAACCTTCAGGTTTTGTTTTCGAAATTCAAGATAAAGAAAGTATACCGTCACATCGAGATGTATAAAACACTTACCAAAGGGTTTCACATATTTATAGCTAACAAAAAGAGAATAATGAAGCGTCGACGCGGTTCTAAGAGTACTGATGGACTCAAGCTTATCTAGCTTAGGCGTAGGGCTATAGTAGGAGGCACTCTAAAGATGTGTAGGAGTTTTAAACAATAGTGGTATCGTAAATTTTCATATCTCGACCTCTTCTGTAACCCTTTGTGTTCAACGAGAGTAATGTTCACCTTTGCCAGCTTCCCATTTCTTATCCAATACCTTTCCATCAATTTAAAAATATAACGGGTGATTTTTTAAGAGCTTGATAACTTTTTTTTAAAAAAAAACGCATAAAATTTGAAGATAATTTCATTTAAATGTTGACCGCGGCTGCGTCTTAGGTGGTCCATTCGGAAAGTCCAATTTTGGGCAACTTTTTCGAGCATTTCGGCCGGAATAGCCCGAATTTCTTCGGAAATGTTGTCTTCCAAAGCTGGAATAGTTGCTGGCTTATTTCTGTAGACTTTAGACTTGACGTAGCCCCACAAAAAATAGTCTAAAGGCGTCAAATCGCATGATCTTGGTGGCCAACTTACCGGTCCATTTCTTGAGATGAATTGTTCTCCGAAGTTTTCCCTCAAAATGGCCATAGAATCGCGAGCTGTGTGGCATGTAGCGCCATCTTGTTGAAACCACATGTCAACCAAGTTCAGTTCTTCCATTTTTGGCAACAAAAAGTTTGTTAGCATCGAACGATAGCGATCGCCATTCACCGTAACGTTGCGTCCAACAGCATCTTTGAAAAAATACGGTCCAATGATTCCACCAGCGTACAAACCACACCAAACAGTGCATTTTTCGGGATGCATGGGCAGTTCTTGAACGGCTTCTGGTTGCTCTTCACTCCAAATGCGGCAATTTTGCTTATTTACGAAGCCATTCAACCAGAAATGAGCCTCATCGCTGAACAAAATTTGTCGATAAAAAAGCGGATTTTCTGCCAACTTTTCTAGG